TTTTTTAAATATTTTTAAAAATATTTATTTTGCATTATATGTTATATTGTAAATAAATCGTTGATAAAAATTGCTATCAAAAATAAAAAATCTTTGTCCTAAATTAATTTTTGTTAGTTTATCAATTTAATTTTAATTAAATATACAAGATTTCGAAAGTATTCCTCAAAATATTTCAAGTACAGTCCATTTCCTTTTACAAATGTTTCGAAACATGTGATTGACCAAGCAGAATAGAGAATTTTACCGATTGACCAATCAAAAAACACTTCAATCATTTATAGCACCAATCACCTGGATTTGCAACCTTAATCCATCGGTCGTGGCTGTGGCTATGGTTTGTGATTAAATAGAGAAATAAAATATAAGTTAGTGGAGGAGAAGGGGGCATATTTGCGGTGAAAAAGTTGCCATATTTGTCTAGAGCACTTAGAAATAAAGGAACAAAATTTAAAATCTTACTTTAGGCGAGGAGAGTAAAAATTCAAAAATGCAAGAACTGTTCTTCGCCACATTTGCGCCACATTTCTGTTCATCTCGCACATTAATATCTTATCTTAATGTCTGTGATTTGTCACTTGCTATTTGGTACAGTACACAAAGAAATCCATACATACACACACGTATATGTCCAATGCTTCTATGCGAGTGTGTGACACTTTACATGAATATGGCGGATCCTTCCTCTCCCCCGCGGCGATAAAACGTACTTCTCTTTCTAGCTTATGACTTATTCCTCTGTTCGTGATTTCAAAATACACAATTGATCTCCAGATGACCATACGTTTTTTCGCTCAACAGTTACATTAGAGATTTATTTTTTATTTCTGCACAAAACTGCACTGAAACTTTCGCTTGTGTCAAATTTGAAATATCCCAGTAAACAAAAATGGATTAAAATAGATTAAAATTTTCAGAAGTACGCATTTGTGAATGTTGAAATGAATCCATTTCAACGCCTACTTTTGTATTCATTTATAGGAATTGAATGAAACTCATTTTTATGCCTTTCAATTCAGAAATAAATTTAGTTTTAAAAGATGAATCGTGAATACTGCTCAATTCAAAATTCTGGATAGGAAATGCAGTTTTTTCAATCCAAATTCAATCCAATTTAATTCAATTAAATATAAAAAGTTTTCTGGTGTGAGTGTGTGTTTGCGCGCGTGTGTGTGTG